GTCATAGGACACTGCACAGACCTGATAGTTTTTAGGGTAATATCAGTACATATTAATTACCTAATTTGCATAATTAATTAATTTTCAGCTTTTCCACTGATATTTTGAGTAGGTACTATTCATCACATTTCAATGAATCTAAACCTATGCAGAGACCCAATTAGTTTTCGGTAAATATTTATGGATATTAATCACCTAATTTGCATAACTAACCAATTTTCAACTTTCACACTGATATCTCAAGTACTACTCATCACATTTCGATAGTACTTTGTACATGGATGCTGTAGGACAATATACAGACCTGGTTAATTGTGGGTTAAAATCTGTCATATTAATTTGTATAATTGACCAATTTTGTGATAACACTAATATCTAAAGTACTAATTATTTCATTTCAATGAAACATAGTACAACAATGCTCTAGAATAATGTACAAAGTTGATTAGTTTGGGGTTAAAATCTGTTCATATTAATTCCCTAATTAGCATAATAATTCATAATTTTTTGGTTCTAATCACATTTCAATAAAACTTGGTACATAGATGGTCTGTTACATTGTGCAGACCTCAATACAATCTGTTCATATTAATTTTCTGATTTGCATAAATAGTTTTCAGCTTTTCTATCAATATCTCAAGTACAAGTATTTTCGAATTATTTTTAATGTGTTTCCAATACTCTCAGCACATGGGAGTTCTTTCTAAGCTTTCTTTGATTAGTAATTTTAGTCAAAACAATAATATTTTATAGTAAGATTATTCAATACCACAAGATACATATTCAATGTTTATTATATGCTTCCAATACATGTATTATCTTGTAAGCCTAATTTAGGCTGCTGCATGCCCAATATAAAACATTTTTCTGGGAGAAGGGACTAAAACTAAAAGCGTGCCCTCAATCTTCTGATTTATTTGTTTACTTTGTTTATATGCACAGGTTTAATTGTGGCATTGGTCCACTAATATTTGCTGATCAGTTCATACAGCTGTCAAGTTCACTGGCATCTAAGTACATATATGGACTTGGTGAACACCGTGGTAGTTTTCTACATGATGTCAACTGGTCTAGATATGCTTTCTGGAGCAGGGATGTTTTCCCCGCTGTAAGTACAATGTAATGTGGACTACAGAGGGTGCTGTTAATAGTTTTCCAGATTATTAAGTCTTTGTCAGTTCTAGAATTTGATAATTTTTTGTGTGTTTCACCTGACTTGAAAACTGGATATGAATGATATTTATTTATTTTTCCATTATTTAGGAAAATTTAAACTTGTATAGTGTCCATCCATTCTATCTGTCTATTGAAGATGATGGCAATGCACATGGTGTGTTCTTACTCAACAGCAATACTATGGGTATGTATGATAGTTGTATATTCTCTGAGAAATTGTCATGGAACTGTTAAGCTTTTCACCACCTGTTCCATCTTTTCATCACCAATTCACAAAAATGTCCTGTTCATAGTCTGCACTTTCCGTCAGAAGGTTAGGACAAAATTAGCTAAAATTTTTGAGTGAAAATTGACTCAAATTTTGTCTGTTGGCTCTGACATTAGAAAATAAGAAAAAAAGTTCAGAAAATTTGGCCGAGAAAGTCTGGGGCTGAAAAAGGTTAAGAAGTTAAGTTAGAACAATCTTCAATTTTGTATATTATACAATTGTTTTACAATTCACCATGCAACATATACTTCCTGGGGATGATCTTTCATAATCTTGGAAAAACATAAAAATTACTTTGTTACACTAATTGAAAGGACTGTGATTACTAGACAATGGATGTGAACCTTATGCTATAAAATTTTGTGTCAAATAAACAACACATATTTGACCCGAGTGCAACGCATATCAAGCGCATGATTCTGAGACTCAAACATTAGTTTATTTTCACGATGTATCATCATACGTGTTCAAACAAAATATTTATCGTAAGAATTTGTTTTACTTCGTTGACTGCATGGTCAGCAAGTTTTAACATAAAATGCTACATGAATTGGTTTCCACCTTCCCTATGGCTCCTTCATACACTTGCTTTTATATATAAAGCAACACATTTATTTATGTATTAACATTATTAACTAACAGGGTCTAGTGTTACCCTAGCCATATCAAATTATTCCTTTGTTTACTGTTTTCAGAGGCGATTCTGCAGCCATCTCCATCAATCACATGGAGGACTATTGGTGGTATTTTAGATTTTTATGTCTTCCTTGGACCCAGCCCTGACCAAGTGATACAGCAATACACTGAAGTGATTGGAAGAACATTTATGCCACCGTATTGGGGTTTGGGATTCCATCTGTGTAGATGGGGATATGAAACTGTTGATGGTACAAGAAAAATCACTGACAGGATGAGAAATGCCAAAATACCACAGGTATTGTCATTTTAGACTTTTTATCAGTAGATGGCTTGTGTCGTAATTTTCTCCATATTTTTTGTACTTCTCATCAAACTTAAAAAAAGTTTTTTGTTTATGTTTGAAGATAATTCTCATGAATATTTAAATTCTCTGAACTAGGACGTACAGTGGAATGACATTGACTATGCTATAGACTACAAAGATTTCACTTTAAATGAGAAAGTATTTGGAGATTTACCGAAATTTATTGATGAACTTCATAACAATGACCAGCACTATATACATATCGTGGTAAGTTGGGGATTTAATATTTTTTACCCATGTATGTGTATTAGTGTTAAATGTCATAGGAAATGTAATTCATATACTGATAATGATCAGACTCTGCACTAAATGGCCATACAGATAGTTTATGATTTATTAAAATAATTTGGGATTTCAGTAGTTTATTATGTCATTGTAACTTTGATTGGACAATGCATCATATATTCAAATCAACTTTTGGGAGCTGGTTACATAATTTAGACTTAACTGGAACATGTTTGACTCAAACCAGAAACTTCTACATATTATTCACCAAGCAGTTAGCATATAAACTAAGGAGTGTACCCTGAATTTGCTCGGTCTCTGGAATAAGAATCCCAAATAACACTTAACTTCCTACACAATTCAAGAGCTTTTGACCTTGACATTGATAATACTAAAGTTCAGAGCTTATTGTTTTGTTTGCTTTGATTGAAAGGATCCTGGTATTGCCGCTGACAGTGCCCCTGGTACATATGAACCATTTGATCTTGGTAAAAAAATGGACATCTTTATTAAACTGGATGGAAAATACATAGAAGGGAAGGTATGTATGTATTCTGTGTGAGGAAATTTATATACATTATTTTTTGTATTTTTGTAGAATTGTATTTGTGAGAATATGTTGACATGATGCCCATTTAAATTATTTTTGTTCCCAGGTTTGGACCAATGTTACCGTGTTTCCAGACTTTATAAACCCTAGAACTAGTGAATGGTGGTACCGGATGATATCAGAATGGTATAAAAAAGTACACTTTGATGGACTCTGGATTGTGAGTTATACATATCTTTACAATACACTGCTAGTATTTTCTAATGAGACAAAATACAGCATGAAAGTGTAAAACAGTGTTTTCAGTAGTCGGGATAGTAACAAAAGCACAATGGCCACATTTGCCATCATGCAGGCATATCTTTCGTGTGTTGTATATTGGTTGCTATGCAGGAAATAAGAATTTTTGAACCACAGATAAATTGTTTGTCCGATGTTAGGATATCAATATACTAGATGTACCATTATCACTTGCACAAGGGGTACAAATTTGCGCATAAAAAGTCAACAATGACATTCAATGTTTGTGATCTGTCACCTAACCATTTTTAGCTCCGCTGTCGACTTTGTCGAGCGGAGCTCATCATATGAGTGATTGTTCGTCTGTCGTCCATATCAATGTTTTACTTTTTCGACTTCTTCTTGAAAACTACGAGCCTGAATGCTTTAATACTTGGTGTATATGTACCTTGGGTAGACCTCTCTCAGATTTGTTCATTTCATGATCATATCTTCAATTCTCTAATTTTGGTGAATATTTTTGTCATTTTTGGTAAAAAGTGATATTTTCAACTTCTTGTTAAAAACCGCAAGTCCAATTTCTTTGATATTACATATATAGGTACTACATGTGGACCTCTCTCAGATTTGTTCATTTTGTAATGATATCTTCAATTCTCTAATTTTGGTGAATATTTTTGTCATTTTTGGTAAAAAGTGATATTTTAAACTTCTTGTTAAAAACGGCAAGTCCATTTGCTTTGATATTATATATATAGGTACTACATGTGGACCTCTCTCAGATTTGTTTATTTTGTAATGATATCATCAATTCTCTAGTTTTGGTGAATATTTTAGTCATTTTTGGTAAAAAATCATATTTTCGACTTCTTGTTAAAAACCGCAAGTCCAATTTCTTTGATATTACATATATAGGTACTACATGTGGACCTCTCTCAGATTTGTTCATTTTGTAATGATATCTTCAATTCTCTAATTTTGGTGAATATTTTTGTCATTTTTGGTAAAAAGTGATATTTTAAACTTCTTGTTAAAAACGGCAAGTCCATTTGCTTTGATATTATATATATAGGTACTACATGTGGACCTCTCTCAGATTTGTTTATTTTGTAATGATATCATCAATTCTCTAGTTTTGGTGAATATTTTTGTCATTTTTGGTAAAAAATCATATTTTCGACTTCTTGTTAAAAACCGCAAGTCCAATTGCTTTGATATTACATATATAGGTACTACATGTGGACCTCTCTAAGATTTGTTCATTTTGTAATGATATCTTTAATTTTCTAATTTTTGTGAACATTTTTGTAATTTTTGGTAAAAAGTGATATTTTCAACTTCTTGTTAAAAACCGCAAGTCCAATTGCTTTGATATTACATAAATATGTACTACATGTGGACCACTCTCAAATTTGTTCATTTCATGATGATATCTTCAATTCTCTAATTTTGATGAATATTTTTGTCATTTTTGGTAAAAAGTGATATTTTTGACTTCTTGTTAAAAACCACAATCATTTATGGGGAAAAATGATATTTTTGAATTCTTGTTGAAAACAGCAAGTCCCATAGCATTGATACTATGCATATTGTTCATTTTCTAATGATATCTTCTGTTTTTTAATTGAATCATGCATTGCTAACAGCGGAGCTGTCTCAGCCGAGAGGCTGCTTGTTTTTACAAGGCATCTACTTTCCTTCATATTGAGATTCACTTTTGACACTAGGGATTTCTTATGATTACTAGAGCAGAATATCTTCAACACATACGTTTACATACATACGTTTCTTAATAATATGACAGAACTCCACACCCACCCCGTGGCTTTCGTTGCATATGGAAGTTATTTTCATGAGTGATGTGGTGTATCCTGCGACCGTACTTTCACGAGTGAAGCGAGTGAAAGTACAGCAGAATACACCACATCTTGAGTGTAGGGTGTAGGGTTCTGTTCATTATTACATATGTTCCATATTTGATTATTTCATATTAAAGAAAAAACGTGCAACAAACCGGTATGTGATTCAGGTCAGGGAACCCCATCACTCATTAATATGTTCCAAGATAGTGTTGCGCGCTAGCAACGTGTGTCAGTGTAGATAGCGTGTCACTGTCTGTGTGAAAATAAAATAATATGACGTCTAATCTGAATCACTGTCCCAATAAATAACTCGTGGACGTTTAGTTGGGGCCATGACAGAAACAGAACTTGGATGACTATGATACACAGTTTATGTTGAAGTTAAAAGTTCCTCCACAGAAGTGTGCATTGGCAAACATGCCGTGTAACTGTGGTACTGACGGGATGACTTTTGTCGACAGCGGTCGTCGCTGACTTGCAGTCTACAATTTCGTTTGTGATTTTGCTTTGTGGTCATGGATTGAATGAGCCTTGGTTGCCAGTTAAAATGTTGCTCATTTGGCTTTAATAATCTTTATTTGGAACTGAGTAACGCCGCAACGTCGCCAGCAGAAACCTCCTGGTATCTCGATGTTGATGGTTGCGGCTCCATAGTAATCGCTGATTTTACTGCGGGTGAATCTTCCAAAAGCCCTTCAAGGCAGCTTCAAGGTTTATAAAACTCAGTTTCCAGGTGGTCAACATACATTAAGTTCTCTCAATCGTAGTATTCCATGTGATGTACACCTAGTATACCAAAAACGTTGCTGAACGATTTGAACTGGATAAAAATAGCAGACGAGATAAAAATAGTTTGGTAGCCAATGGAAATACCATGCTCATTTGCATATGGACCGTGAAAATACCGAAAACATTATTGCCTGGGTGATATGCAAATTAGTTTTAGTCAAAATAAGTGACTGCCGAAAAGTACCATTACTGTTGTTCAAATTTCATTTCACTCAGCAAGTATATTCATGTACCCCAAGGGAAAAATATCGTACTTCTTAATATTGTTTATTTCTGCTAGGTTTTGAAAAACAGTACTACTTTGTTTGCTCCCAGACCTCTTTTGCATATGGGGTGTGAAAATATCGATTTTGATTTCAGGGACGAATCAAAATAAACTGCAGTACATTATATAATAATAATAATTGCTTAATATTTATCTGCTCTTTCCATTCAATTCTAAAAAACTCTAATAGTATCATCATTAATCTTTTCACCACAAGACTTTCTTGCCCAAATTTTGTTTGCACTTTTTTCATAAATTCTTCAATATTTCTGGAAATGAGCACTAATGTTGGAGCCAACAGACAACATTTTAGTCAATTTTAAGTGTTCACCCAAAAAATTTGGCTATTTTTGTCCCAATCTTCCAAAGGGAAGTGCAGACTATAAACAGGACTATTTTGTGAGTTTCATGATGAAAAAAGGGAATTGGTGGTGAAAAGGTTTATTATCACTTAATTCTTTCAGTAGACGTACATGTTGTGTCTACTTTGGAATATAAAGCGATCTGTAATCTAGAATTACCACATACAAGTATTAGATGTACAAAGGTATGGTAAATACTCGTACATTGAGTTTCCATCTTGACTATCTGCTTTCCTGTCTCTGTGTTGTTAAAATTTACTACTGTAGAATACTTTATTTTCGCTTGGAATTTATTTTGCTATTTATACTAAAGGGATAATTCCGTGAAAAAAAAATTCAGCGAATATACTTTTTTTCCTATATTTCACATTAAACTCATCAAAAATCAGTGAAAATAAGTTCCACACAAAATACCCAAAAAGCCTTTTCAGCGAAAATAAAATATTCCACAGTATTCTGCTATGCACACCATTGAAGTATCATAATGTACCATAGATTTTCATCTGACTGGATTTTTCAACCAATGAGAGCATGCCTTACTAAAAGTGGCATGTAACAAAACTTCTGATTGATTCTGTTCAAGACTAGAACATGTCTTTCATTAAGTTATTTGAACAGATGTACATGTATGAATAAAGTTTATTAAAACCAATCAGAGAATATCTACATATATCTGAAACATTCCACCAATGTGAAATCAAGGTTTTGAACATAAATAGTCAGCCATTAATGGCCACCACATGATAGGAGCAAATTACTGTAAGTCATTGTTCTTCATTAATGAGACGCAATCTTGTCGTTGTAGGATATGAATGAACCAGTTCAGTTTGGCAATGGATCATTGATTGGTTGTCCTCAATCTAAGTACGATAATCCACCATATACACCAGGTAGGTACTGTAAACTGTTTATATTGTCACTACTAGAAATTATCATGATTTGTAAAGAAATAATTCCGTGCAAGTCACTAACAATCTGTGTTGTAGGACACCAAAGACAATTTTCGCTGCTGCATAAGTTGGAAAGTGTTATGGATGCATTTGAATGCCTCCCCTATTTGGAAATGTTCGTCAGATTTGAACACTTTTCTTTGTTTATTTCAGACGTATTGAAGTGCTTATAATCAGAGGGAAACGTTTTTCATTGCCATTTCAGCCCTCTTATCTCAGGAATAATGCAAAATTTGCACTTGGGCAGTAGCTTGATGCATCAACCTCCACAACGGTACACCTCGATTGATACGATAACCATACTGCCTTAATTGGTATTTTTGTCATAACCTCATAATATATTGCTGATTTTCTTGTTTTTAATAGGCATATTTGAGGGCATATTAAAAGCTTTCACACTGTGTGCTTCAGCAGATCAGTACAAGTCAAAACATTATGATGTACATAGCTTGTATGGACTGACAGAGATGAAAGCAACATTTGAGTAAGTATATATAGTTATTCAATTTTGAAATTGTAGCAATTTATGTAGGTTTCAAAACCATACTGTAAAATACTTTTTGCTTTGAATTATTTTTCGCTGAAGGAATAATTCAGTGAAAATAAATTCCATACAAAAAACCTAAAAAGCGTTTTCAGCAAAAATTAATTCCTGCTAAAATAAAATGTTTCACAGTATTTGAAATTAGTATTGAGGTGTGGGGTAACATAGTTATGTCACCCATGAATACTATAAGGTTATTACGAAGATACCTCAAAGTATGCACGAAGTCAGTACAGCGGCAGTATTGACTGACGCGCAGCGGAGGTCGATGCGACGGCGTACTGTTTGAGTGCATACTTTGAGGTATCTTTTTAATAACCTTATTATTATACATCTTTCCCTACCAAGGATACATCATGGGAATGCCGAAATCTAAAAAGTTTAGAACAGAATCAGCGAACTTCTTTGTATGGAGTTCGGTCAAACCCTGGTGGCAGCCATGTTTTTTTTTATTATTAGAGGACGCCTACCCGCGTTATCATTCCATATATGGAATTCGCATTTCCTAATATGGTAGGATGAAAATACCCTGTAAAATACCACAAAATTACGGCACGCTGTAACTTATGGCGTTACGGTGACAGATTTATATTAATACTTTTTACAAGGGATGGCATGCTTGTATTTCAAACTTTTATATTCAATACAAAACATTAACAAGCAAGGCTTAGATTTTTAGCTCAATAGACTGCCAACAATTATGCAAATTAGCTACCAACAATTTTTAAAATGCTTTGGTCTACACAGCTGATAATGATAGTGCACATGCATTCAATTCACCTTTGTCTAGTTCAAATTGTGGCAATATCTTCAATATTTTTGTTAAAAAAGACTATTTTCCACTTCTACTTGAAAATTACCAGCTCAATTACTTCGATACTAGCTGGGGGTCCATAGCTCTTTTAGTGTTGTTCTTTAGTTTTTGTGTTGGTATTTTAGTCATTTCTGATTCATTTTGTGTCATTAATTTGTTATTTTCAGACATTATCGACTCTTGCGTGATACAAACATGTTGTTACAACAATCATGGAGCTATTTAAACCATGAAACCACCTGTTCGAGTTAATCTTTAAAAACTCTTGCACCACAGTGCAAATTATTTTTTCCTTTCACCTAGTTTTGGGATGCATGTATAAAATACGGTACTGCTTTTTAGCTCCACTGTTAAAAATGACAGGCAGGGCTGTTGGTATAGGTGATTGTCCATTGTCTCACGTAATTATTTTCCAAACGACTTCTTCTTGAACACTAGCTCTATTGCTTTTATCCTGGGCACATAATGTTCCTTTGGTGAGATTTAATCTTTTCATGACAATATCTTCAATTCTCTTATTCTTATTGAATATTTTTGTAATTTTGGTCAAAAATGTTGTTTTCAACTTCTTCTTGAAAACTTCTTCTCTGAAGTTTTATACTTAGTATACATGTATATGTTCTCTGGGTGGACCGCTAGATACTCTATAATTGCTTTGATACTTAGTATATGTGTACCTTAGTTGGACCCCTATTAGATTTAAATATTTCATGACTATACATGTATTTTAAGTTCTGTAATTTTAGTTGATATTTTTGTTATTTTTGAGAAAAATTTTATTGTTGACTTCTTCTTAAAAACCTCTATGTCAATGTTTTACTTTTTCGACTTCTTCTTGAAAACTACAAGCCTGAATGCTTTGATACTTGGTGTATATGTACCTTGGGTAGACCTCTCTCAGATTTGTTCATTTCATGATAATATCTTCAATTCTCTAATTTTGGTGAATATTTTTGTCATTTTTGGTAAAAAGTGATATTTTCGACTTCTTGTTAAAAACCGCAAGTCCAATTGCTTTTATTTTACATATATAGGTACTACATGTGGACCTCTCTCAGATTTGTTCATTTTGTAATGATATCTTTAATTCTCTAATTTTGGTGAATATTTTTGTCATTTTTGGTAAAAAGTGATATTTTCGACTTCTTGTTGAAAACCGCAAGTCTGATTGTTTTGATACTATACATATTGTTTATTTTCTAAGCGGAGCTTATCATATGAGTGATTGTCCGGCGTCCGCTGTTCGTGTCAATGTTTTACTTTTTCGACTTCTTCTTGAAAACTACAAGCCTGAATGCTTTGATACTTGGTGTATATGTACCTTGGGTAGACCTCTCATAGATTTGTTCATTTCATGATGATATCTTCAATTCTCTAATTTTGGTGAATATTTTTGTTATTTTTGATAAAGTGATATTTTCAACTTTTTGTTAAAAACCACAAGTCCAATTGCTTTGACATTAGATATATAGGTACTACATGTGGATCTCTCTCAGATGTGGTTATTTCGTGATGATATCTTCAATTCTCTAATTTTGATGAATATTTTTGTGATTTTTGGTAAAATGTGATATTTTAGAGTTCTTGTTAAAAACCACAAGTTTGATTGCGTTTATATTACATATATAGGTATTACATGTGGACCTCTTTTAGATTTATTAATTTCGTGGTGATATCTTCAAATATCTAATTTTGATAATTTTTGGTGAAAAGTGATATTTTTAAATTCTTATTAAAACAGCAAGTCTACATATTGTTCATTTTCTAATGATATCTTTTGTTCTTTAATTGAAATGTGCATTGCTAACAGCATAGCTATCTCAGCCGACCGGCTGCTTGTTTTGTTCTGCCATGCATACACTGCTTATTTGAATCAGTACAGGAATGGCGATTTTATTCATTATGATTTGATTTCGGCATGTATGACTTGTTTGCATTGTTCATCTGTAAATTGTGATTGATTTTGTTTCCATGGCAGTCACTAAAAATCTTGCATGCGGTCTAGCTAACTGGGGCCATTCACTCATCACAATTTCTGACATATTTGAAAATGCATCTGATTCACTGAGAAACATTGGTTATGTGTTCATTATTTCATTCGTCTTACAGGGCTATAGCTCGCATCCGACTAGAAAAACGTCCTTTCATTATCTCGCGATCTACTTATCCGAGTAGTGGTAAATATGGAGGTCATTGGCTAGGCGATAATTTCAGTAAATGGAAGGATATGTGGTATTCTATACCAGGTATATTAACAAGTTGTTACAATGTTTTTTATAAACTGATTTGTTGGAAAATAAGCATTTTTTACAATGTTTAAGCCATAATGTAATTGGTGAAAAGTAGTTGTATGTTACAATGTGTAATTTGTGAATACCTGTTACAATCTATCAGTATAAATCATATTGTGATTGGTGGAAAACAACTCATGTTACAATTTATCAATATAAACTATTGTGATTGGTAGAAAGTAATCACTTGTTGCAATGTATCAGTATAAGCCATATTTTGAGTGGAAGTATTTGGAAAGTAACCATTTGTTACAATGTTTGTATAGACGATATTGTGATTGGCAGAAAATATTCGACCTGTGAAAAATAGCCACATGTTACAGTATGAGCTATACTAACTATATTTCAGTGCGTCAATATCCATCTCTGACTATGAACATCACCCCGATCATTGGGTTTTATTTGCAGGTATTTTGAACTTCAATATGTTTGGTATACCATTGGTTGGTGCTGATATCTGTGGTTTCAACAATAACTCAAATGAAGCACTTTGTCAACGATGGCACCAGCTAGGTGCATTTTATCCATTCTCCAGGAATCACAATTCACTACATGTGGTCAATAGTACAGAAAAATGTAAAGTAAGGGTTATAGTTAAATACTTGTGAAATACAATCACATTTATTCTTTTTGACATAATAATTGTCATTGATACTTTTAATCAGATTGCTTTCAGAGGATGTACCCAAGATGGTAAAGCTACATCAGCTGACAGGCTGATAATTTCTGCTTACAATGCTTCCAAGGGGAATTTAGATTATAACATGATCTAAATATTACTTTAAGCCAATAAACTTTCCTTTGTGTTTGTTGAGCTACAACAGCAAATATTCTGTTGGTGTCTTGTATATGCTTCATCAATAAAAAGAGGAAACAGCCAACTAGCCTTTATGAGGAAAACGTGAAAACTCAATCTATTATTTAAGTTGTTACAAAAAATACACTAAATGATGCAGAATTTGTCTTGATAACAGATATTCAAAATATACACAGAATGGCCAATATGCGCTTGTTGTAAGGAGTAAGTTGTAGGTAGATATTTTCATATGATTTAATAATTGTCGGCAGTAGGGCAGCATTTATCATACAATTAGATCTGTGTGTGCGTGTGAAATAATAATAAATGGTGCCTACTACTCAGTATCACGTCTGACGGTAATTTGGGAATCGGGAATTATATGTTGCTGGCAATCAACAGTTTGTGCTTGTGTATCATTACAATGTACCGGGGTACTACCAGGATTGAAATACTGATATAACCATGTAAACTATGTTATTACTTTATAGGATCAGGACCCTACCGGGGTACTACCAAGATTGAAATACTAATATAACCATGTAAACTATGTTATTACTTTATAGGATCAGGACCCTACAGCATTTAGTGAAGCTATGCAAATATCAACAAGAGATGTGCTACTAAAACGGTACTATCTGTTGCCATATCTCTATACTTTATTCCATAAAAGTCATGTTAACGGAACTACGGTAGCAAGACCATTGTTCTTTGAGTGAGTAATACATTTGTATTCGATTCTGTTATTAAAGTGAAAAATAAAGAGACAGGTCTGATATTTGCGAAGCTTGAATATATCAAATTTATCAAGTATATTAAGTTTACGAAGGAGATGTATGGTATGAACTCGGAAATGTGAGAAAGTTAATCTGTTTTGTAAGTTAGAAAAATAAAGAAGCAATTTCTGCTTTAAAAGATAATTACTTTCAACTGGAATTTGTTGATTGATATTTCAGATTTCCACATGATGACTATGCCCTAACTGTTGATACACAGTTTCTATGGGGAGAAGCATTATTGATTAGTCCTGTATTGCAAGAGGGCGCTGTTACAGTCACTGCATATTTTCCTAATCACTCATGGTATGACTTTGACACTGTAAGTACATTGATGATATCAGGGACAGTGATTGCAAATATCAACTTTTGTGACTTTCTAATAAAATAAAAATGCTAATCTCACAAAGCCTAGTGCACTTTCTAGGTATAGGCCTGTGCACATATATAGACGCAGTGAATGAAAATACCACAGTATCATTGGTTGTACTGATTTATCCTTACAGGGTGCCTGTGTACCAGGTTTCTCCAGTGAAACAGGAAAGGACCTCAATAACTATTGTACTGATTCTTCCATACCGGGTGTCCGTGTACCAGGTCTCTCTGGTGAAACAGGAAAGAACCTCATTAACTATTGTACTGATTCTTCCATACAGGGTGTTCGTGTACCAGATCTCCCTGGTCAAACAGGAAAGAACCTCAATAACTATACTGATTCTTCTATACAGGGTGTTCGTGTACCAGGTCTCCCTGGTGAAACAGGAAAGAACCTCAATAACTATTGTACTGATTCTTCCATACAGGGTGTCCGTGTACCAGATCTCCCTGGTGAAACAGGAAAGAACCTCAATAACTATTGTACTGATTCTTCCATACAGGGTGTCCGTGTACCAGATCTCCCTGGTGAAACAGGAAAGAACCTCAATAACTGTTGTACTGATTCTTCCATACAGAGTGTCTGTGTACCAGGTTTCTCTGGTGAAACAGGAAAGAACCTTATTAACTATTGTACTGATG